TATATATATATATATATATATATATATATATATAAAATATTAACATTTTCTAATTGTATATTATATTTTATTTTTTCGAAAATATATTGTATGAAATAATAAGAACTTTATAACTTTTGAAATGTTATTTAATGTTTGTGGTCTTGAAAATGGATATTTACTATGCCTAATTAAGCTAATTATGTAACATTGTTTTAAAAACTTGTTTAAAATATAGGCAATGTATACATTTTATCTAATACATTTTAATCTAAAGTTCATAATATATTCAAATTAATTTAGTGTTAATAAATTTTCAAGGCAGCTTTTATATTTGTCTTGTTTTTTTTTTTCGTGAAAGATCTCATTAGTCTTTTGGACTGTATTTATTCAAAATAAAAATAAAAAGTCTTAAAAAGTTCCAGGATCCAAATGGATGATCAGATGGTAATAACATTGCACTTTGATCTATTTTTAAATGAAACTTTGAGCAATGATACTCTTTTGTTAGTGTTTTCTGTTTCTTGTGAATGTAACGCATTAAACTGTGTTGTGTTTTCCTGCAGGAGTTTCAGCGCGATCTTTCCATCAGTGTTTTAATTTGTGCAGTTCAGTGTTTAACCTGCAGACAGCGACACCTGGCGTGAGGAAACACACACTGCAGCATCTACAAATCAGTGTTTATTCATCCATATACGACACGCAATGGGCTGGATGCATCAAATCTGCCTCTTTTTTTTTCTGTCTCACAGGGGAAGCCCATCGACTTTGCCGGTGTGGATGAGAGCACAGCCCGCTGGGTGCAAGAGTTCAGTGTCAAACCCTACGCCAACCCGGCCAAGCTGGAGTCTATCGATGGTCTGACATCTCTCTGCTTTCTTGAGTCTGAGTGCATAAGTGCATTTCTTACATCAGGATATGTGTGATGTTTCAGGTGCCCGCTATCAGGCGCTGCTGATTCCCGACTGTCCGGGAGCCCTGATCGATCTCGCCCACAGTGGATCCCTCGCACGAATCCTGTCCCACTTCATTTCTCATCAAAGTGAGGGTCTCTGCTTCTCAGACAGCTCAGGGTTTAATCCATAGAGACCGAGCGCATTTAGGCCACGCCCACCGTGGGGGCAAGCAATCCTACCCTCTCCATTGACTTTGTATTGTGGGAAGCTGCCTTCTTGTTGTTTCTGACTTATAACAAAAAACAGAACAATGCCTAAAAGCTGCTGTGTGACAAGGTGTACAGCAGACAAGCTAAAAAACCCAGAACTGTGTTTTTATAAGCTGTCGACCCCAAAAACGAGCGTTTAAGGACACAAAAGTAGAGCGCAATGTGTCTCATTACTCTGAGAACTACGCCCACTGGAGGGAAATGTAATCGGCGACAGGAACCATTCAGTTGGATCATTTCTCAAACAAAAGGAAGGTAAGGAAAAGGGGCACTGACATAGACCAATAAAATTTAGTTTCTCAATATATCTCCTCCTCTCAGGTTCACATAGGGTGGTGAAATAATTCTTTGACATGATTAAAAATAATGAATGTTTACTGTCGCCGATTACGTTTCCCTCCACTGGGAGCAGTTCTCAGATAAATGACACGTTTCGCTCTACTTTTGTGTCCTTAAAGGGTTAGTTCACCCAAAAATTTCTACTGAACGTAAACAACGCTGATTAAGTTCTGGGGTACTCTCCAAAATGGCGGAAGACGGTAACTCTGGGAGAAGAATTGTTGAAAAAAATTATTATTATTGTTTTCATTGCACACAAAAAGTGTTCTTGTAGCTTTGTAAAACTACGGTTGAACCACTGATGTCAAATGGACAATTTTACAGATGTTCTTATTAGAGGTCGACCGATAGTGGATTTTGCCGATACCGATAGCTTGGTTGGACCACACTGGCCGATACCGATTAATTAACCGATAGTTTTAAAATTGATACTGAACAAAAACTAAAATAGTGCTTTATTAACAAAAACAGTACTGAACCATACTAGTAGTAGTAGTAAAAAAAATAATAGTAAATGTTGAAATTAACACACTCTAACAAGGAACAATACTTACACAGCTTTCATTAATCTTAATGCTACAAATGGACTCTTATTTTAAAGTGTTACCATTTCATTTCAACTGTCATGCTTAAAGATGCACATCTTTAAATATATACACAAAGGCTATAGCATTAAAATTATATACATATGGATATTGTATGTATACTCTCACACTTTAACTGCTTCTATTCTTGAACACTTGATGATTATCTAATCAAAATAAAAGCGCAGCGCTGAGTCTAGGAGAACTCAACGGTATCACACACACTCCGGACGCGTCGCGTTCAACTCGAGCAGCGGTCTAAAACAGTTTATTTAATCACCAAACGGACACAAGTTTACTTCAAGAATGAACAATTTGGCATGGATGAGTTTGAAGTTCGGTGTTTAAAAAACGGAGCAAACGGAAAGAGAAAGCGCGACCTATATTATAGCTCTATAAATGAAGCACACAGACTTTATTAGAGCCACAGAAAGACAAACGTTTGGCTGAAAATGCACAATACACAATTCATTATGTACATTAACAACGATTCGGGACCAATATAATGTAATTTAAAGGAAAAACTATGTGAATGGCACTGAATGGCGCGGCAGGATTTTCTGTCGGCTGCATTTAAATCCGCGTCTGAAGTTTCCCGCTCTGTTCAGCGTGCAGTATCACGTGTCTAAACAAATAGCACGTGCTGTCAGTGATTTCAACCACTAGAGGCCGCTCTCGCACTGTGTAATGACAGCAGACCCTTCTCAGCCGCTCCAGCAATGGACGCAACCTGGAAAACTATCGGCATGGATTTTGTCGATAACCGATATTTCCAGCAATCAACTATCAGTGCCGATTAATCGGCAAAACCGATACATCGGTCGACCTCTAGTTCTTACTATGTTTCTGGACCTGGGAACATTTCAGTTGCATTGCAGTCTATGGGAGGGTCAGAGAGCTCTCAGATTTCATCAAAAATATCTTAATTTGTGTTCTGAAGATGAACGAAGGTCTTACGGGTTTGGAACGACATGAAGGTGAGTAATTAATGACAGAATTTTTATTTTTGGGTGAACTAACCCTTTAAACGCTCGTTTTTTGGGGTCGACAGCTTATAAAAACGTAGTTCTGGGTTTTTTTGCTTGTTTGCTGTACACCTTGTCACATAGCAGCTTTTAGACATGGTTCTGTTTTTTGTTATAAGTCAGAAATGACAAGGAGGCAGCTTTGCGTAATACAAAGTCAATGGAGAGGGTTGGATTGTAATACCCCCCCCCGCCCCCGGTGGGCGTGGTTTTCAGATTATGACATGTCGCTCTGTCTCTATAAACTGAGATAGGTGTGTTTGATTCATGTCTGTGTGATTGTAGAGCCAGTGTGTGCTGTGGGACAGGGTGTAGCTGCTCTCTGCTGCGCCACAGAGGAACAGAAATGGATATTTAGTGGCTACAGCATGACTGGGGTGAGTGATAATGTAATATGAATCAACAAACCATGGATTTATGATGGAAAAGCTACTGTAATGTGATGTTTTTGACAGCCCTCTGTGTTTGAGCTGGTACGTTCTCCTGAATTTGCCAACCTGCCGCTGATTGTGGAGGATTTCATCAAAGACAATGGTGGATCTTATACAGGTGATGTTTATTAAAGTCATTCCCAACTTGTTTGACTTGCTTTCACCATAAAAGTCATCCACTATATTGCTATATTTGAAGTCTTCTGACAACTGTTTGAGCTCACATTTTGGTTGTAATTAGGTGCTGGGTATTGACATATCTCTCACAATTTAATTCGATTCACAAGCTTGCGATTTAAGTGAATTTCGATTTGATATTTATTCTTTTAGATATATATCAGATACAGTACATGTCAGTTTTTCCCAAGGGAAGAATATACCGCAATTAATGCGGTAAAGGATTCAGGGAACCCTCCCAGGTTAAAGGTTAAAAGTACCGTTCCATACTGCGCACTAATTTTGTACTTAGTATACTAAAAATTATTCTTTAGTACTTCTTAAGATAAACTTAAGATCAACTAAGTGTACTCAACTGTGCTATTTTGGGGCACCATGAATATGAACTAAAATGCACTTTTAACATTCTCTCTCTGTATTTAAATATGTATTTAGTTACCACTTGTAGTACACTTGAACCCATCTTTCATACACTAGTACACTCAAGTGTACTACAAGTGGTAACTAAACACATTTTTTAAATACAGATAGTATGTTGTTAGTATGCGAAAATAGGGCACTTTAAGTACATTATGGAAGTGTACTTTTTTTAACCTGAGCTGTCAGTTACTATAACTCATTACTGTAATATTAAAGGTTAAAATTAACAAGTGATTTGTGTACAAACATTCAAATTGCACATAAGGCAATTGAATAACTTATACCTTTTTAATTATGTATTATACATCTACTCTAATTCTTTAGTTTTTAAAAAAAATATAAAAATAAAACATGTCGGATTTATGCAAACATACATTAAATATTTAGGAAAAAGTTAAAAAATATAATGAATATATAATATAGTGCTTATATGTAGGAAAATGTTCCTCTCTAGAGCTTCATTTGTCTAGCTAACTATCGAGCTGTTGAATGGATTTTCTGAGGTAAGGTTATAGTACGTGACATTGTTTACAAGATATTTTATCGATCCTTCCTCGATTGAAATACTGACCGAGTATTACATGATATGACACATTCTTTTTTAACTAAATAAAATTAATTCCTCACAGCAAGCATCGAGGACGCTGTTCACGTGGTCCTGGACCGCCATCTTGTAACGGGCCAAAACGTTCAGTCCACAACAGCGGCCGTCAATAACCTGATTCTGCTGTGCAACAGCAGATAAACACTTCACCTGTTCAGAAGGGAACGAACAAGGACCACGCCACGAAATGTGAACCAGAAGTGTTTTAGAAATGGCTGTTGAAAGCACATTCACAAATATGAAAATCATGCCAAGATGTCACTCCAAATGTTTTGCACTCCAGAGTTTAGTTTATCACTTAAAATTCCATTTGTTAATTATTATTTTTTTGCCTTTAAAATATTTTAATTTAAATGCTTAGAAAGGAGCACATGCCTTATAATAATAAAAAATAAAAAAAACTGTAAATGCGTTTCAAAGCTATGCACTGTAATAAAAGGCTTTATTTTTAACTACACTTTTAAAAGTTGATAACGCCAGAATTTAACCTAGAACATTAAATCCACTAAAATGACAAAAGCACCACATTTCAGCTTTTAAATGCATCAGACTTCCATTTGTTAGTGCAAACATGATTATGATTTTCTTTGGTTATTAAGAATGCTCAACACAGATGTTGTTGTGAAGCCTAACTTTTGAACATTCCTGTAAAGTGTAAGATGGGGCAGTTTAACAGGAAATCCTGTGTTTTTTATATCCTGTGAATATGTAGATCATGTTTTGTTTTGCTTCATTATCTGATGTCCAAAAAAAATTCTGTGCTGCTTTAACAAGGTTATGCTTTGCAATGTAAAAAAAATTAAAGCTGTAATGTGCAGTATTATGAACATAATACAGCATGAAAAACCAAATCTGTACCTTAAATTGTATTCCTGAATAAAATCAATTACATTAAAATGCTGATTCACTGGCAAGAATGCACACGATAACAGACGTAATTAAAAATAATTTTATTGGCATGCTCAACAACAGTATTGTCATAAATATCTGAAGTGCTTTATTAAATTGCACTTTATTATTTGGAAGCAAATCAGACAGACGGAGGTCAGGTCACAGTCGAACGGGTCACAAAAGATCGTAGAAATAGTCCAGTCCTTGTCCCAATTCCCACAAGGAAATTCCTGTTCCCAGTTCAGCTGCTAAGGCGATATGAAGCTGGAGAAACTAGAGGAGAAAGAGCAAGTCCCATAACTGGATAATACCCACAAAGCCCCTTTAATATTTTATATTGACCATCAGAAAGTTACCTTTAAAGTGGGGTAGTAAACAACATGCCTCACTCCATTACTCCTGAAACACAAGAAATAATATTATTAAAATATCTAAGCTTTTTAATGCAAGCTAATTTTGTTCACAACATTACAAATTTTGTGTAAGATGGTCTGTGTGTGTTTAACCTTTTATAATTGAAGAAATGTTCTCCAGTATTTTCGTCCCACTGCAGTTTGGGTTTCACTTCCTTCAGCAGTTCAACATACCTAAATGAAAATGAAGATTAAATATGCTTCTGGAAGTCACTGACACTTCAAAACTCTCACTGTCAACTTTAGAAGTACATTTTTAAAAATTAAACAAATGTTATATAAAACATCAAATGTGAAAAAAAAAACTAATAAAACTCTAAAAGAAATTTTTTTTTTCAATCTTAAGGAAGACTCAACAACAGTTAAACGGGTTTCCAAGAGCAATATCTTTTGAGATAACTTGACAGTTACATTAAAATGAAAAATTATATTACATTATGAATTTTTAATTCTCTTATTTGAGGTTTTCTGGTCAAGAATACAAGTATGCAGGACAAATGAGACTATACTCACTATACTATCTATATACTATGTATTTAAGTAACATTTTTGTAAATATAAAAACATATAGGCAATTTAGATTTATCAGATTTAGTTGAACTGTTATTAAATATACAAGCTTAATAATTAAAATTTTTACTAAAGTTGGCATGGTAAAAAAAAATCACTTTTTTTAATTAATTTTTTTATTATTGAATTAATTTTTTAATAAAGTATTTTATATAAATATTGTTATATTACAAAATATTTTAGATTTTATCTAAAAATATTAAATATATTTTAAAGGCCCGTTCACACCAAGCACGATAACTATGAATATAACGATAAAAGATATCGTTCTAAAAATCGTTCTCAATATTAAAGAATAGCATAGTTCACACCACAACTATAATGATACAGAGGAACGATATGGTTGTGATCACTTTCAAAACGATTTTTTTTCCAGCTGATTCTCTTATTTGAGGTTTTCTGGTCAAGAATACAAGTATGCAGGACAAATGAGACTATACTCACTATACTATCTATATACTATGTATTTAAGTAACATTTTTGTAAATATAAAAACATATAGGCAATTTAGATTTATCAGATTTAGTTGAACTGTTATTAAATATACAAGCTTAATAATTAAAATTTTTACTAAAGTTGGCATGGTAAAAAAAAATCACTTTTTTTAATTAATTTTTTTATTATTGAATTAATTTTTTAATAAAGTATTTTATATAAATATTGTTATATTACAAAATATTTTAGATTTTATCTAAAAATATTAAATATATTTTAAAGGCCTGTTCACACCAAGCACGATAACTATGAATATAACGATAAAGATATCATTCTAAAAATCGTTCTCAATATTAAAGAATAGCATAGTTCACACCACAACTATAATGATACAGAGGAACGATATGGTTGTGATCACTTTCAAAACGATTTTTTTTCCAGCTGATGAACGATAAAACACTGACAGCCAATCAGAATCCATCCTGCTGTAACGAGCTCAAGAATTTAAAGCGGCAGACGCATGTGCGCTTAGAATAAACAGACGATATCGTTCGCTGGTGTGGACGCTAATATCATTATCTTTATAGTTTATATACTTTATAGTATACTTTAAAATAAATAATAAACAAATAATTAGCACAGTTAATTTAATCTGACAGCAATAATTTTGCTAAACGACTGTTTTAATGAATGAAGCGTGTACTTCGCGCCCAGTAGCGGCTCCGCTCCGCCGTGGCTGCTGAAGTCCAGTCCGTACATGTTGATTCCCAGCAGGATCTTGTGTCTCCACTGGCTGTGAGGCGCGAGCTGCAGCACACACTCTCTGACCCAGGGCAGCGGAGCGCTCGGACCCGGCCTGAAACACAACAGCATCACAGCCAATCGAAAACTCATGATGGCCAGACTGCGTGGGTTTTTCCAATAGCTAATGTTGAATTCTGGGGAACTGGGTGGCGATGGGGAATTAAACATTTACAAAAAATATCTCCGTTTACAAAAATGCGGAAAATAAATTAGTTCACATAAAAAAATTAATCACCATTAAAATATAATGACAGATTAAAAAAAAAACATCTGTTAAAGGAAACTTTAAATAGGATACACAGTACCAATATTAGCCAATTTGATGTTTTTTGTTTGTTTTTTGTTTTTGTCTAATTGTCTAATATTGGAAACTATGGAAGTTTCCACCATGGGATAAAAAATAAAAACATAATTGTTATTTCGTGATATAAACTTTCAGTTCTGAGAAAAAAAGTCAGAATTGTGTGATAAAAAGCTGCAATTACATTTATTTATTACAATCTGATATCAGGATGTATTTTTACTTTTATTTTTAAACTTTTTGTCATGTTTTAAAGTTTCTGTAGAAGTCAGAGTTATATATTAAATTAAAATTACTTGGGGGGGTAATTTTAAAAGTTAAAAACTTTTAACTTTTTTAAAAAGTTAATAAAAACTATATAGACATTTAAAATGATTAAAAACTAAAATGAATAAAAAATACTAATAAAAACTATAATAGTAGCGGTACAGGTATGTAATATCAATCATCAAATTACCTGTTGGCCAAATATAAAACCATATCATAACAAAAACAGTATTTATCAGTATCACCCAAAATGTCTGTCTCCTTTTAAATTTCCTTATTTTAAACTTGGCATCATAAAATGTTTCTGCATGATTTTGACACAGAAATCAATGAAAAGCATATCACCATTAAACTACCATCAGAATCTGTCTGTGTGTGTGTGTGTGTGTCTGACCTGCCCGGTCCAGAGTAATCATACGTCATCAGACTGAACGCGTCCACCACTGGGGCCAGTTTCTCAAAATCCTCCTGTCCAAACATGCCAGGCTGACCAGAGCTGAACACGACACAGACAGCTGCTCATGTAAACAGGGCCAGTGCATAAGAAATACTGAGACGGAAGAAGAAATCTACTCATTTACCCCGGTGCGACTGAAGGAGGGATGACCAGCACGCAGGTTAACTTCCCAGCCTTCAGAGTCTCACACAGGTGTGTGACCAGGTGCACCAGCTCTCTGTAACACAAACATAATACAGACCCCATATCAGAATATTTATCATATTCATATTCAGAATATTATCTTTTTTTGATTTTAGGAAGATGTCATAAAAATGAAGTTTTATCTGTTTTAGTAATGTCAGGGTTTTCACAAAAATGTAATCTTTTAATTATTGAAATATTTACTTAAAATCTAATTAAAATACTAATTAAAATCTCACTTCAATTAAATATTTTACGTCAAGTGGGGTTCCGCTGAAAAACAGTGCGTGAATATAATTTCAGTAATATTTTGATCTTTGATCTTTTTTTTCTTTTTTTTTTTTTTTTTTTGAAATTCATACTTTTATTTAGCAAGAATCTGTTAAATGGATAAAAAGTGATAGTAAAGACTTATATTGTTAGAAAAGATTTCTATTTTGAATAAATGCTG